TATTCCTGAAGTTTAAACAATGTAAAATTACTGTGGCTTGCCGTAGATTTTTTGCCACAGCACACAGCGACTTGATTTCAGTGCGCAGACCGGTAGTTCAATGGAAATGACGCAGCGTATTGCAAAGAATTTCCGTCCAGTAAGTTCCATCTCGCCATCTTCGATCTCCCTGTTTTCAAATCCTACCTCAGTCGCCACCAGTTCGTCTCCACAGTGTTCGTATCCCACACCTGCAGGCGCGAGGACTAATTCGGATAACTCTTCTGCCTTTGAGCGTCTAGGAAGCATGCCTACCGGAGACACCGAAGATCGGCCGCCAATACGAATTGTGCTCAAATCGGTAAAAAAACGCGGAAGTAGTGTCCTGCACGAACCGATGCCCGTTCTTCGTCCTCTATCAGCCGCTACAGCCTCCAAAAAATCCTTGATAAAGATTCGTTCAACCACTCCGCAGAGGCGTTCCGATGCAGGATGCCCACCAATGTTCAGAGCTAGTCCAGCAAAAGTTTCGAAATTGGTAAGCATTTTCCATTGTAATTATCATCTCCGTAATTTTTCAGCTCACTTGTGACCTCTGTCATTAAGCTTCAACCCATCCAAGTTCCCTCACTGTCCATCTTCTGCTTTCGCAGGCTTCACTTCTGCCCTGGGTAACGTTACTTCGAGTAGAGCGTAGGTACCCGAAAAATTTCAATGGGTAAACGCTCGGATAGAGATGTTTTTTGACGTTATATGATTTGCACCCAGCGTATTTCATGGGCATTAATCATTATTAGGGGTCGTTATGCTTCTCTTTTTGCTGGTCGCTTTCAATACCGCCATGTTGTTTTACTTAAATTTGGAGATACATCGACAATGAAATGAGGGTGCGAGTTTTTAAATTTTTAATCCCAGCGATTTTCTTTATCTCCACAGTATTACAGACAGCAAAAAGGAAGGGGGGAGTGGGGGAGGGGGGATTGCTCCTTCTCATTTGCGAAAAATTAGTGGATTTCAAGGCTTTGTTTATGTGACGGTTATCAAAAGCATGCAGTTTCATTTTCTTGCAGCTTTTTGAAATGGACGAAGAAGCGGATGAACTGGAGGAAACGGAGGCCAGCAGGCATGCTAAGTATGCGCAAGAACGAATAGCGCTGAAGCACGCTGGGAAAAATGAAATGGGTAATAATGCGAAAAAAGTGGATGAACAAGATGAAGTGGAAGTACTAAATGAGAAGCTTAAGCAAAAACAGTTGACGAACACGGGAGCAATGAAAATGGAGCAGCCTGGCAGCACTGAGAAAGCAAATAATCTTGAAGAAGTGGAACTAGTGAGCCCTTTGAAGCCTGAGCAAAAACAAGCCAGCAGCACAGGGGTAGTAAAACTTTTAAAGCCTGCTGATATCAAAAAAGAAATAGAGGATACGGAAGAAATTGAGCTACTGGCTGGTCTAAAGAGAGCAAAGAATAAAGCTGGTGCTAAGCGCAAGAAACCGAGTCATGAAGAAGCGGCTGGCTCAGAAGAAGTAGAGGTCTTGGGTTTTGCGTGGCCGAAACGAAAACGTATAACGAGACAAGCAGTCAGACGCGAATTGCCTGAAGAAACGAATAATTCCAACGAACAGGCAATAAGTAGCCGCACAAGATCGCGGCAAGGGCGAGCGGCTGCGACCAGAATAAAACGCTATTTTGAAGAGGAATCGGAAAGTGAGTCATCTGATGAGGATGAAAAAACGGCCAGATCTGGGACTTCCAGACGTACAGTATCCAGCGAAAGACGAAAGACGGGTAGAGCTGTGGCACAGTCAGAGGACCTGGAAAATGGCAATGTAGCGGGCCCGGTGGATCAGGACAAATCATCCGCAGAATGTAAATTCCGGAATGGAGAAATTGTTTGGGCTCAGTCGGAAAAATCACCTTATTGGCCCGGGAAAATTTACTCAATTATCAGGAGCAGTGGAAAGAATGGTGCTCTTGTCATTTGGCTCGGTGTGGACACCTATTCGCCTTGCATAGAATTCACTCGGCTGGATAAATTTGTGGAAATGTATGCAAAAAGGTAATGTATTTTTTTTTTTTTTTGCTTTTACTTATGATTCATGTGCTTATGGTGAAAAAATTAAATTTGTTTTTGTAGCGTATGACCGCTGGATTTCACACCCTCAAGAAGCGGACTGTAATCTTGCTTAAGAAGGAGAAGTGAGGTAAGGGAAAAAAAGACAAAAGGGTTCTGGGTCTTTTTTTTTGGTTATCCGTTTTGGCAGAGCACTTTTTTTGACTGATGTTTGTTTCCGGGAATGGGTTGCAAACAACATCCGATGTCCCACGTTTTCCCACTTTCCCCTTTCCTATGGCTCTGATCACTTTATCACTTACACACCGAACAAATGCTCTATGGATGACTATATCAGCAGACATCAGAAAGCGATATTTTGATTAATTAGTTTGGCGGCTTTGTCAGCGCGGGATTTGGAAGCCGCCGTGAATTTCGCGTTGCTTGACACTGTTTTGCTTTTTCTACAAGCAACAGCCGCCTTCGAACTGCTTTTGGTTGCAATCTTTTTATTTTGTTGATTTTGCTGTTTTGTATAATTTTTCATTTACAGGTTTAATCCGAAGCGCAAGGAAGTTAGCTATCATAAAGCAGTGGCAGAAGGTATCGTTGCGTGTCTGCCATGCAGAGGCTATTTTGAGAGGAATCTCTCGTCGCAGGTGCACCGAAGTCTTGTCAAGGATCACGAAATGCAACTGGATGATGTTTTTATTATTCGAAAACGCAGAAAGAAGATGGCAGGTGGCGTGATTGCCAAGCGAAGGTCGGTGAATACTCTCATTCTCAAAAAACGTACAAACGAATTTTAGAAGGAAGAAAAACTT